TGACACACGTGTATAAGTCATTGTATCACACTGTTTGCTGAGTGTATCTGTTGCTGAGAGCAGAGCAAGTACTGCTGGCAAAATGCCATCTATGTTACTCATGCCAAAATGCTGTATTTCTACTACTTAAAGAGGCATATTTTTTAAAGGATTTACACAGATTATTCTTGGTGTCCTCTCCATCCTAGATGACTTCAGGATCCTTGTGTAAGACTCCTTCAGCACCCCTCGCATTGATGCTGTCGCCTCCAATGCCTCTCACTTCCACCATGCTTCATCTACATGGTCATACCCTGAATCTTGTCACCATCTCCAAACTATTCCACTTTGCAAATCTTAAGCCCCAAGACTTAAGAATATTTTATGATCTGCTCATAATATCCTAACCTTATAATTTTATATCCCCTTACTCCCATCTACCTGCTTTTCGACCTCAAAGGGACTTCCTCAAAACTTGTCTCCCAATCTCTTAGCCCCCTAATTAATGCAAAAGCCAATTCTCTTCTCAATGGCCAAAACGGTTCTGCCCTGTCCTGTCCCAGAGAACCGCTCAACCTGAACTCTGGACTTCGGCCCCACCCCCAAGCCCTATTTCATTAAATATTTACTCTCTCCTCTAGGTCTTCAACTTATCTTTTCCTGGCTTCCTTCCCTCAGCACATAGACATGATGATATCTCTTCTAACAACTACCAAAAAAATAAATACATGATCTGATATTCTCCTTATCTAGCATCCTCTTTTCTCTTTCCTGTTGTGGTCAAGTCCTTCTCACCCTACACTAATCCCACTCACTCCTCACCCCTTTGTAACCTAACTTCTGTCCTCACCGCTCTTCTGAAACTGTTCCAGACCAGGCCTCAGCGACCTAACAGGCTATGGTCACATTTCACTTCTTATCTAACTTGGCGTCCGCTCTAGAAAGCTGTTCCTCCTTCTGCCTCTGTACTTCCACTTCCATGATACCCCCCTACTCAGCGGGGCTCCTCTTCCCCGACAGCTGCTCCTAAGTCTCCCTGACAGGTTTCTTTTCCTCTTTCTCTTGGGTAAACGTGGATTCACCCTCCACCCCTTCCCTCCCCACTGCCTGTATATCTCTTTCTAAGCAATTTTATCATTGCCTGTGGCTTAAATGGCCATTTATAGATGCTAAGTCATACATTTTTGGAGCCTCATACCTATATTGCCTTCTAGACATTCCTGTTTTTATGGCCTCTAGGCACCTCAAACTTAATACACCCCAAACTGAATTTATCATCTTTCCCATTTCCAAAACCAACTCTGCCGTTTATATTTACTGTACGTGTAGATGTTAGCAATCATCCAGCCAGCAGCTCCGGCTAGTAGACACATGGGAAAGGCCAAGCTTGTTGCTCACCACGAGGCTCCTCTGGCTCCAAGTCCTGCTGATTTCACTCACTAAGTCTCTCTTCAATCCATCTGTTCGTCTCCCTTTCTCTGACTGCTGAACTCAGACCTCTGCATTCCTGCTCTGAATCTTTTCAGTGACTTCTGGACTCTTCTCCCTGCTGGCAGCTTCATCTACCTCGTCCAGCCTTAAGATTTGATACTGTTTGTCACTGTTATTCATTTATCTTTTCTTTTCTTTAGTGTCCTTTTCAAGCTAAAAAGGTAATGTGCTCTCATTGTAGAATAGTTTATAAGGCTATAAAAAAAAGGTTAAAGTCATCCCTCATCCATTCCTCAAATCTTACACACACACACACACACACACACACACACACACACACACACACTTTTCTTCCTAAAAATAAGATCTTAGTAAACATGCTGCATTTCTTCTATTTTAAAAGGTTTTTGTTTGTTTGTTTTTACATTTTATCATCTCTGAAAACAGTATATACCATACAATGAATGGTGTCTTAGATGTGGTCAAATACACTATTGTTCTACAATGTGCTTTTTTACTTGTTAATATGGGTCATGATTTCAAACCAGCACTTATTTCCAGGATGATCTTTCTAAAATACAAATCTGGTCAGGTCACTACCCTCCCAAGAATTCTTCACAGGACCCCCTCCCTGCTCCCCTCTTCATCTTCTGACTCCCTCCTACTTTTGTAGTCTCTTTCCCAGCACATCCACACACATCCTCTTCCTTAAAGCCAAGTGGATCTACTAGTATTTGCGTTAGTTCCCCAAATACACCATGCTGAGCCAGATCTCTGTGCTTTTGCACCACTGTTCCCTCTGCCTCTTCCTCACCTCTTCTACTCAGAGTTGCTTCTTATTGGAAAATTGTTCTGACTCCCCAGGCCGAGCCAGGGTTCTTCCTTTATGCACCACCCCTCAGCTTTTCCAGCTTCTGGTGCATATCTTTGCTAAGTCGCTTAACACACAGGGTTGGGCCATTTCTCTTGTTAGTTGCTCCCAATAGTGAGTCCTTGGGCATGTTTTCTTCTTTCTACCCATTTCCAGTTGTGCCGGGGCGACATGGATTCACCCTGTGACTCCATAAATATT